AAAAAAAAAAAAAAGAGCGGTGAGCTCAGTCACCGCCACTGAAACAGGCCTAGCCTACCAGCTGCCAGCCACCCAGTGGGGACCTGCACCTGAGGGGGTTGTGACCCAGCTGCAAACAGCCATCATCCCCTCCATTCCAGGCTGCCAGGCACCCAGTTGGGGACCCCCCACCCTAATTCCAGGACACCTTCAGGGCCAAACCAGCCGGCCCCCACCAGTGCACCAGGGCTCTATTCTATATTAGTAAAAGGGTTATATTCCTTCCAGCACTGGGATTCAGCGGAAGCGTGAGGCCTTCCAGCACCGGGATCAGCGTGACAGGGGGAAGCGGCCAAACCCCCTGATCGCCTGCAGCTCTGTGTGTGACAGGGTGCGGTGCCCCAACCCCCGGCTTCATGGGCCCTGCTCTGTGTGTGACGGGGTAGAGCCATAACCTTCCCATCGGCCTGCCCTGAGTGTGACAGGGTGCAGCGCCCCAACCCCCTGATCCGCCCTGCTCTGTGTGTGACAGGGGGCGGTGCCCCAACTCCCCTATTGGCCCTGCTCTGTGAGTGACAGGGGGGAGCTCCCCAACCCCCTGATTGACCCTGCTCTGTGCGTGACAGGGTACGGAGCCCCAAACCCCTTGATGGGCCCTGCTCTGTGAGTGACAGGGGGTGGCACTGCAACCTCCTCATCAACCCTGCCTTGAGTGTGACAGGGGGAGGTGCACCAACCCCCCAATCGGCCCTACCCTGAGTGTGACTGAGGGTGACATCGCAACCTCCCGATCTGCCCTGCTCTGTGCATGACAGGGAGCGGTGCCCCGACTCCCCAATCAGCCCTGCTCTGAGCCCGACCAGGGGCTGCACCTAGGGATTGGGCCTGCCCTCTGCCACCCTGGAGCAGGCCTAAGCCAGCCGGTCGTTATCTCCCGAGGGGTCCCAGACTGCGAGAGGGTACAGTCCGGGCTGAGGGACCCCGCCTTCCCCCCCTCCCCCCGAGTGTACAAATTTTTGTGCACTGGGCCTCTAGTATATATATTAAAACCAGGGCCCTCACCACCAGACAGACAACCGAACAGTAATAGTAACAATCACACAGCAGCTGCGTGGGGCGACCAGGCTGGCATGGGGGTTGGTGAGGGACGACCAAAGGACTGACCAGAAGGCTGCATGGTGCAAACAGGCCAGTGAGAGGGCAGGTAGGGGCCACCAGGATGGCTGGGGGCGGGGGGCAATTGGGTGTGACCTGCACAGCAGGAGGGCAGTTGAGGGCGATCAGGCCGGCAGGCAGTGGCATTTAGGGGTGATCAGGCTGATGGGGGGGCAGTTAGGGGCGATCAGGTAGGCAGGCAGGCAAGCTGTTAGGAGCCAGCAGTCCTGGATTGTGAGAGGGATGTCCGACAGCTGGCTTTGGCCTGATCCCTGGGATTGGGCCTAAACTGGCAGTAAGACATCCCCTGAGGGGTACCAGATTGGAGAGGGTGCAGGTTGGACTGACTGAATACCCTCACCTCATGCATGAATTTCATGCACCAGACCTCTATTTTGTATATATTGGAAATAGCCACCACAGTAAGTCTAGGTAACATCTATACCACACATAGTGACTAAACCCTTTCTAGTGATGAGAACATTTAAGACAGTGCTTCCAACATGGGGCACATGCCACACAGGGGGGCAATTTGATTTTTAAGCGCAGAAATTTGAGAATGAGTTATTAATAGTTAATTTGTTTATTTTTCATGGTTCCAGAGGCCTCATGTACAGCATATGAATATATATTGTGACATATTTATGCATTTCAGTTGTCTACAAGTATTATGTTTTGAAACTTCACTTGTTATTTTTTCATATCACTTCATATTATTTTTTTAAACAATTTCTTAGTGATTTCTCCCTCGGTACTTCAAATGTCCTTTCGTGCTTTTATTTTTCTCTTTCATGGATGCCATGTTCTTTGGAAGCTTGTTTAGACAAAGTTAATGGGCCTTTAGGCTTCCTCCATGTGAATAGGAGCTCACTTTTAGAACAATAGGAATCCTATGTCATGAGGGAGGCGGCATCATGGTTTAAAGAAGCTTAGGTGGGGCATGGCCAAAAAAAGGTGGGGAACCACTGCTTTAAGATCTACCCTCATAGCTGTGCATTACATCCTGATGACTTGTGTATTTCTTAGCTGGAAGTTTGTGCCTTTTGACCATCTTCCTCCATGTCTCCCCATCAATTGCAGTCATTTCGCTGCAGCATGGTCAGTATCCTGTCACTAGACACATGCAGGCACGGGGAGGACTGCGTGTCAGAACTGGGGCGTGAGAATTAACGCGGGACTTAAATGGACAGCTGTCCTTTCAAGTCCACTGAAGATCTGAGAGGTACATGTATGTTAGTATAACGTGTACTGATTATCTAACGTAGAACTAGATGTTCTAAATCACATGATGACATCAAAGGATGTACTTCCTAGTTTCCCATCGAGTTCCACTTCCTGAACACTCTGTAATAATTTCATTAGCAAAGCCTTCTTCTACCTTTTCATAGAATAAAGCAAGAGCAGTTGACTGAATAAGAGGACATGCCCCTAAGAAAATGAGAAAATCCCAATGGGGACCAGGAGTAAAGAACTGAATGCTTTTCAAATGAAATACTAGCTGTTCTAACGCAGAGCTGCTGGGCCAAAGGCTGGCTTTGAGTCCTTTCTCAGTCTCCCAGTCCCTTGAGCACTTTGGTTTGGACAGTTGGCCTGATCACACTGGTGGGTTAAGTGCTGTCCAAAGGCACGTTCCCTCCATCCCACACAGATCGCCTCCTCTGGCACCTTTCTCCAGTGTGTTCGGAGGGGCCCAGAGCTCAGTGACAGCACCAGGAAAGAAACCTCAAAAGCCTTTCACTCAGGATAATTATTGAATAACTTTCATTTTCCTTCAGTGAGTGACATCCACTCTGTGAAGAGTCACCGATTATACTCTCCAATCAGCAGCTACCAGCCTGTCATGGCATCAGTTACTAGGGGAAGCTGCTCCTCGAGGTGTCCCCAGAACCACAGCCTTTCCCAGTATTGAAACACCTGAAAGATCACAGTGGCTTTAACTGTGAGAGGTTAAGTCAATTCCCCAAATCTGCTGCACTAAGTTGTGGTGCAGCAGCGAAATAAGCCAGTCAGAGCAAGACAAGTATCACATGATCTCACTCATATGTGGAATCTGATGAATAAAATAAACTGATGAACAAAACAGATCTAGAGACACAGAAACACAGAACAGACTACCAAACCTCAGAGGGAAGGCAGGGGAGGGTGGGTGGGTGGGAAGAGATCAACCAAAGAACTTGTACATGTGTATGCATATCCCACAGACACAGACAATAGAGTGCTGAAGGCCTGGGGTGGGGGTGGGGGCAGAGGAGGGCTAGAAAAGGTCAATGGGGCAAAAGGAGACATATGTAATACTTTCAACAAGAAAACATTTTTAAAAAGAAGAAAATTGAAGGCCTCCTAACTTGCAATCACCTCCCTCACCCTCAGCTCCCAGCACACTCACTCATCCATTTGCAAAATGGCTTTGTCTGCAGTGAGAGAGACCAATGCTCCCCAAAGGCTCCAACTTGCGTGCTCATCACCGACAGCGCAGAGCTGCCTCACAATAGGGCCCAATATAATGTTTCTGATACAACCAGATCAACCCTTCAAAGCAGTAAATCAAAGCAATGCTTTTAATGGAGGAAATTCTAAGTTCCAGAAGAGGACCTTCCTACTGAATCCCTCACCAGCAACTGATGATGCTCTTCTTCTCTGATGCTGATTGGTGCTCATTGCTGAGATGACCCAATCCAGGAACAAAGAAATGAGTTCCTCAGTTTGTGTTTCTGGGGATGTGGGTGGAGAAGGGTCACAGTCCTGACTGAGTGAGACCCCCCTGCTCTCTGCCCCTGTCCTCTCTGAGCTCCAGCATGGTGTGTCTGCGGTTCCCTGGAGGCTCCTGGATGGCCGCTCTGAAGGTGATGCTGATGGCACTGAGCCCTCTCCTGGCTCAGGCCAGGGACACTCCATGTAAGTGCACCTTGGGGGTGAGCTGTTGTGGGGGGAGGAAGAAAGGGAATTAGCTTTGTCACTGTGTCCAGGCCATGTCCATTAGAAAATGGTGGCATTTTCTTCAGTGGCCACCTGCCTTTACCATATGGATCTCGATTCTTTCCACCACAAAAGGGGCTGGTGCTCGCCACTACAAGATGTTAAGGGGCCTCGTGTATCTAGGCTGTTTCTTCTCAACTCTCCTCCAGTAAACCTTCCCAGCCTCTTGTCCCCTTCCATCGGGGTCTTGAGAGGATTGAGAAATAATGATCTCAGTCTAATTCCCACACAGTGCTCCATTTATTGTATTGATTTATCTCCCAAAGGAACGTTTCTCTGGTATTTTATGGGGAATCAAAGGAATTAGAGGATCTCTCTTTGAGGATCCTGTGGTCTGTCCTCAGTAAAATCTGTGATGTTGGTGTCTTTCCCTGCTATGTGAGATGTATCAAGGGACCTCCCCACCATCTCCCTTCCTTTCTCCGTGAGCCCCTTAAGGAAGAAAAAATTCAGAGCAATAATTGCTTTAAAAAAATACCCCAGGGTTATGGGACAGAGAGCATGGATTCACCTGATGTCACTACAAGTAGTTAGGGAGCTCTCCCTGAGGAAGTGACACTTGAGACCTGGATGATGAGAGAACCCACCGTTTGAAGATCTACGGGAGAAATGTCCCAGGGAGAGGAAGAGGGAGAGGCCACAGTGTGGGAACGTGTTTGCCATGTTGAAGGGGCAGGAAGAAGGCTAGTGAGGCTGCAGCGGGCAAGCAAGTTGGGGAGTGACATTGACATAGGAAGAGGTTCGGAGAACATGGGAGACAAATCATATTGGGCCTTGATGGGCGGGTAAGAAGTTTCAATTTTATCTGAAGAGACATGTGACCTGCTGAGGGTTACAGGAGAGTCCACGTATATTTATTAAAAACAATAACCCCAGCTACCAGGGGGGATTGGATTGCAGGGTTCACAAGAGGAGTTGGGGGCCCTTGAGAAGCATGGAAGAGCGCCAAGGTGACGGGCTTGGGCTTCAGTTAGTGTGTGTGGCAAAGGCAGCGGGAAAGGGAAAGGGGAAGTGTGCAGATCTGGGGGAGATATTTCCAGGACTTGTTATGGATGAAATGGGGGAGGAGTCACAATCCTTAAGGATTTTATCCTCAATAATTAGAATAAACTTGGTGGAGCTGTGTATTGAGACGGGAAAGACTGTGTAAGAAGTAATTTAAGGGGGTGGTTAGGAATAAAGGTTTTGTGTAAGTTTGAAATGATTTTTTGACATTTGTGTGGAGCTGTCAAGAGGTCAGTTGAACACAGGAGCCTGGAGTTCATGGCCGGCCAAGGCAGAGAGTGTATGTGTTGGTGTCATTGACACATGTGCTGTGTTAAATTCTAGGATAGTGGAGGAAGAGGAGGAGGAGGAGAGCGAGAGAGAGAGGGAGAGAAGTAGACAAGAAGATGCCAAGGGTCAATCCCATAGGACCAAGGGCCAATGAGTGAGTAAAGGAAACTGAGAAGGGGTGCAGTGTGTTGAGGAAAACCAAGAGGAGGTGATGCAGGGCAGTGAGGGGAAGTAGATTTTTCAAGAAGTGAGTGTCCAGGTGTGGTGAGAACTGCAAGGAGCCACTGGAGTGACCTTGAAGGCAGAGGTGACTGGTTATGAAAGCCACCAATTCCACAGCCACCGTTTATTAGTGACCAGAGCAGACAGTCACCACCTGGGGATGAGGGTGGAGTCATCGACAAGACAAATCTGGTCCCTGCAGCATGGAGCAGCGTCACATGGACAGTTACTGTGCACCAGGCCTGCATTTGAGTGTGAGACTCTCATAACCATCCTGTCTCACCTGCAGCAATTACAAATGTAATCACCCATAGAATCTGATTCAGAGAATTTAAGCTACTTACCCAGAGTCACAAGGTTAATTGTAGACCAGGAGACATAGTCTAAGTTTCAGTATCTAGAAAGTCCTCTCTTCTACCCTAGCATAGTCCTTTCATATTACGTGCATGTATATCCCGTTATTACACAGAGACCAATGTTTCTGTCCTTGTTTTCAAAATAACATCTAGTGATAAAATTGATTAAAGATAATTGCCAAATTGTGATAAAGACGTTATTTTCTCTAGAAAGATAAGGAATAGAAAGATCTCATAACCTTGTATTTTTAGGGGTTATAAGAGTTAAAATAGCAAGCTATTTATTGATTGCTTATATGATCAGCAATAGGAAGAATCACTATTTAATTCCTCACTTAACAATATCCTGTGAGAACTACAGTATCATTAAATCTATTTTAGAGATAAAGAAATAGGCCCATGGGTGTACATTCTGACCCAGTGGGAGACCTCATGTTCTAATTTAGGTTCCTCATTCTAGAGCCTGGGCTTCTACCCCCACTGGTGAACAGGGGCTTGGCTGGGTCTGACTTGCTGCTGAGATTTCTGATGTTCCCATGGGCCAGCGTGCGTCTCAGGGTTGGGGGCAGCAGGTGCAAGGGCTGCCAATTCCAATACACAGGAGGAATTTATATCCATTTTGCATTTACACCTTGAAAAGTTCCATATGGATTCACACTATGTGCAGACTGTCTTAGACACGTGAGGAACACAAGGAAGTTTAAGTTCCCTCCTCCCCCTCAGATTTGATCAGCAGGTGGGCTTGTGTTGCCAAAGGAAATACAGGATGCCCGACTTAAGCTGAATTTCAGAGAAACAACAATCATATATCTGAAATTTCAATGTAACTGGGAATCATATATATTTATTTGCTTTATCTTTAAGTTGGGTCCATGAGCCTGGCCTGATAGTGCTCACCAAACAGGCTACAGTGAACAGCAACTCCACACGTTTTTATTTTCAAACTTCTCATGTGTCAGGAAGGTGCTAGAGAATTTGCAAAAGGTTACATAGACCGAGTCCTACCAGAGTGCCCTCCCCTCTGCCATCACTTCTATGTGAAGGTCTCCATCTAAAGTCTGGAACCTGCTCCTGTTTGTAATCTGTCTATGTTGTGGGGGTCATCTCAGCTGCTCCCCTTCAAGGGACATGCCTATAGAAATAAGAGTCCACATCTGGCCTAGGCTGGTAACCTGATGCCTCCTGGTATTACTGGGAGCAGGAGGCAGTTAGAAAGTGAATTAGTTGGGACTTTGAACAGGAATCAAATGGTTGTGGCTGTAGCTGCTCCTGTAGACAAGCAGTGGGCCAGTGGCCGGGAGATTAAGAAAAAAGACGATGTGGAGGATAAATGATGACTCGGTGATTGGGTGGCGAGGCAAGGAAACAGGTAGATCTTGGTCCTGAACAAGTTTATTTTCCTGGAAAAATAGTCTGCACTGGGACCAGATTCCTAAAGAATATAAATCCCATATAGACCAAGCCTTTCCCCAGACACAATATTGGCTGAATTTTTATTGTCACTCCCAGCTGCTGCATAATCAACAGTGGCTTTTGAACCCCAGATTTTTCAGAAGGTTCACCACACCTCCCTCTTCCCAGCCCTGGGACGTCTGCAATATGTAAAGCCATGTCTGCTGTCACACGGGGGTTTCTCTGACAACTGGTGGGGATGCCGAGTGCAGCCCACTGTGTACAGAACACCCACCCCAACCTCACAGAATCATCTGGTCCAAATGTCAATAGTGCTGAGGGTGAGAACACTGCTGGACACGGGCTGTTTCTGAAAATTCTGTTATGCCCAGATTTCAGGATCCCCAAGAAACCACACCAGGGAGCCAGCCGTGTCCGATGCAAAAGCAAAGAGTCTTTTATTCAAACCCGGGCTTGTCTTCCCTACCACCCTACTGGCACAGCAGCAAGTGGCAGAGAGAGGGCTACCCCAGTGGGAAGAGGACTTTTATAGGGGGGTGGAGTAAGGGGAGGAGAGAGGACTGTCAGCCCTGCCGATTGGCCAGGCGCAAGTAGGTGTCTTGTTGCATAGGATGTGGTCATATCTATGGCACGCACTTCCCTTGATTGTCATTGGTTAGTTTAAAGAAGTCCTGGGTGTGGCTAGCAGAGGCTTGGGTGTCCGGGAAGAAGCCTTGCAGAGCACATGGCTGCCCAAAAATGGAGGACCCAGGATAAGATGCAGGGCGTAGTCCTCATCCTTTCAATTCTAGACTCACACTTTATACACACGTGCACCTTCCAATGCAGCTCTTCACAGTTTATTAAGAAAAAAAATTTGACAGTTACATAAATTCACCACTTTCTCGTTGAGCCCATTCAATCACTTGAAGTTTAAAACCTTCCTTTTTACTTTGCTTTCTGTGATGTTGGTCAAAACGTCATGAGTTGTGGTCACTCATCTCTGCTGACCTTCCGCGTCTCTCCTCCATGAGTCGTGCATCGTGGGGAGCCCCCTGTCCTCAGTCAGGGCCTCCCATTTCTGCAGGGACTCTCTCCACACCAGCGATGGTGTCAGAGCTTCCATCCACCCCCTGCTTTAACCACAGATGTGCTCTGGTTCTCTGCGCTTCCTGGGTTGGACATGCAGGAAAGAGAGGGCTCCCTATTGGGATTAGGGTGTAACCCCTGAACCTCCTCAGTGCTCTCCCTTACATGCAGCAGAAGCTCCCCTAACTCACCCCCAGGCTCTCAGCACCCGCCTCCTCCAGGCTCCTGTCCCCTCCCTCCCACTGTCTGGGCTCAGAGCCTGTTCTCTGGGTTCCCAGGAGGCACATGGGTTCTCTCAGGCTTTGCAGGTGGCATTGCCTTCACCTGAGATGTGCCCCCTCCCCCACATACAGCGACCTTCCCCCACATCCTCTCACTCAGAGGCCCTGGCCCAGGCCCCTGATGGGACTTGGACCCTGTGGTCCCTGCTCCAGGCGCCCCTTTCCTGCCATCTCCCTCCTGTGTGGATGCGCCTGTGGTTGGGTGTGATGGGCACTTTGGTGAATTCTAAGCAGCAGGGGCGAGGGCGATGCCCGGTTTCCTTCCTGGGTCCCGGGCAGCTGGGGCCTGGCAAGAGGTCCCTGCCCAGGGGGTGACAGGTGGAGGCTGGTGTGGGGAAGGGAGAGGCTGGGGGTGAGGAGGGGCGTCTAGAAGGAGGTGGTGATGGCACAAGTCCTGGCCCAGCCTGGAGCCCAGAGCCCCGCGGGGCAGCCAAGTGGGTCTCCAGTGGGTGAGGGTCCCAAGGGTCTCCCTGCCCTGTGGCCTCCCAGCCCCAGAGGAGGGGCCCCGGGCGCTGGCAGTGGGGGTGCCGGGTCCTGTGTCCCCACTGCCTGGCGCCCTTCACCTGGGCGGCGTCGCCATCATGTCCCATCAGCGTGACTGGTCCTTCCTGTCCCCGCAGCGCATTTCATGCAGCAGCAGAAGGCCGAGTGTCATTTCTCCAAAGGGACGGAGCGGGTCCGGTTCCTGTACAGATACATCTACAATGGGCAGGAATATGCGCACTTCGACAGCGACGTGGGGGAGAACTGCGCGGTGACCGAGCTGGGGCGGCCCATAGCTAAGGACTGGAACAGCCAGAAGGATGAACTGGAGCGGATGCGGGCCGGGGTGGACACGTTCTGCAGACACAACTACGGGGTGTCTGGATTCCTGGTGCCTCGGCAAAGTGAGTGCGGGGGTGGGGGCGGGGGAGGTGGTGGTGGGGAGGGGGGTACGCACACAGGGCTGTGAGGAGCTCCATGAGGGGCCTGAGGTCCTGTCCCGTGTAGGGTCATTTCCGGGGGTGGC